GAGAGAGAGAGAGAGAGAGAGAGAGAGAGAGAGAGAGAGAGAGAGAGAGAGAGAGAGAGAGAGGAACTGCTGCACATTTCCAGGTTGGAGTCATCTTCCTGGTCCAACAACAGCAAGGACGAGCCGCTGCACGTTACGAGGGCACAGGGACATGGCCGTCCTCCTCCAGCAAGAGCGGCTTGACAACCGAGGTAAGAGTTGCCTCCGCCTGGGACGTTGGAGCCTACGACCGGTGGAGGAGCTGAGGACCCCGTTGGGGATGAGACGGCAGGTGGGGATCGTGAAAAGAGTCTTCTTGGACAATAGCAGCATGTGGGGGTTTATCAGCGCTAGACGAGCTCGGTCCAGCTTTGCAGGCGATCACACTGGGTCTTGCGAGGGAGATGGGGGCTTTGGACTCAGTTTAGGAGGCGTGGGATTACGGGTAGAGAACTCCTGTCGATTTAGGAGCAACGATTGGTGCAGGGCCATCGATGGAGGTGGGAGAATTTAGGCAATGGACTGCCTTTGCTCACGCGGCACAGACGATGGAGGAGAGAGAGGTGAGAACAAATGGCTTGAAGACAAGAGCGGAGGGGAAGGTGAGGAGGGTGGAGTCCCCTGCGACTAGAATGGAGGGGGAGGCCAAGGAGGCTGCAGGATGTTTAATGTAGCCTTGCCCCGGCAGTCGAAAGATAGCATGATAGATAACGGAGCAGAGGCAAACGGAGTTAGGTGACGATATGCTGCTTGTGGCGGGATGGTAGAGAGATGCGAGCATGGCAGGTGGGGGTGCAGGAGATAGGGAGGTGCTATGGAGTGGGGTGGTCGACGAGCCACCGTCGGGTGCGAAGTGCGAGACACCAAGGGGGTTCGTTGTCCCATTTTCCAGCTTGGGAGTAGTTCGTAATGCACCGATGATCCCTCCAGTTGCACATGACACTTCCTTGCCAGTGTCGTAAGGAGGCGAGGCAGCAATACATGTACCACCAGGCTCCAGCTGCCGTGCAAGATTTAGGGACGAAGATACACGCCTCAGAGACGAGTGTGTGTTTGGATCTGGGTTCCGACATGGGAGCCATGATCATTGATTGAGTCACCACTGCCGTCGTACATGACATCACGGGAGTCAACAACCATATTTTGCAGGGACCTCCGAGCACTTCCTCCCATGGCAGCAAATTTCGTCAGTTTCGTGAACCCTTGTCTCCCTGGTGCCCCCTACTCCGTCGAGATCGGCTTCCCGAGAATCAGTTCCTAGCTTGGTCATCGGCGGAGCGTCTGTTGGGAAGGAGGAGAGATGACTTGCCTCGATTGATTTATCACCCCCACGAGATAGAGTGAGAGAGAGAAAGATTCTTCACAACAGGCCCTTGCATCAAAGTCCGTAGCGAGCACACGAGGGGAGGGGAGGCAAAGACAGTGGGACATGAGAGACAAAGGTCCTGACTAGTCATTGTGCGCACATAGGGACATCATGCTCTGCGACACACGAAGGTTCATCGAGCAGACGGCTCAACAATGGGGTTGCAGTTGGGGGAGGGGAGGGGGAGAGGAGGGTGAGAGAATGGGAGAGAAAGGGATGGGAAAGGTGGACAAGAGAAGGGAAGATTAGTGAAAGCGAGTGAGGAAGGAGGGGAGGGGAGAAAAAGAGGGCCGAAGATGAGTGAAGAAGGAGGGGTATGAGAGAACAGTGCGAAGGAGAGGAGAGAAGTAGGGAAAAGAAGAGAGAAGACTGAGGTAGGATCTATGTTACCGCGCGTTCATTGAACGCGCGTTCCGCGTTCAGCTTTTGAACGTTGTGAACGCGCGTACACTGAACGCCCCTGAATGCGATTGACGCGTTTGCGCAGGGGTCTGTCGGGGCTGGGGGGGTGCCTCTGAGGCCACGGGAGCGTCGGCACTGTTTAGGTGAGCCTGTGGGGAGGTTGTAGTCCCGAAAAAAAAAAAAGAAAAAAAAAAAAGGCCCGCGTTTCGTCGCGGGGCGATATATAGCGGGGGCAGCGTTCGCACGCGACACAGTCGTGCGTGGCGCATCAAGCGTTCCCCGTGTTCACTTCGCAAAGTGCTGCACACGCACCGCGAACGAGTGAACGCACACACGCTTGCGCGCGCGCGAGAGAGAGAGAGAGAGTGCGCCATAGCGTGCGCACGCGCGCGCGCGAGAGAGAGAGAGAGAGAGAGAGAGAGAGAGAGAGAGAGAGAGAGAGACAGAGAGAGACAGAGAGAGAGAGAGAGAAGTGGCATTCTGCCATGCCGCAGTTGTGAGAGAAAGAGAGA